TGCTCTGCTGGTTTGTATTAATATTCAAATAAAAACATCTGGGCTTTTGATGTTCAATTGTTATTTAATGGATCATTATCAATCAGGCATTTGTCACATCTTTCTCACATTGTATTGACCATTCATGAATTAAAGTGATCACTAGTTGCAATTGTAAATATAACCAAAGTACTCTTAAAATAGCAAAAAACAGACATTTAAAGAATAATAAGAACACAAGACAAATACAATGATATGAATTACTACTAATGTCCTGAGATGTGAAAGCACCTCTTGCTACAAATTCGACATTTTTAGTTCTCTCTCTTTCAATTTTATAAGCATATTAATGATTTAATTTGTATTCATCTACAGTGAAGCAACATGGCGAACGGGCACGTGAAGATCCACGACGTGTTTAACAACCACACCGGCCTGAACAGCAATATTAACTGTGACGCTAAAGCTACCTCAGACTCAGACAACATGGAGGACTCGGTGGAGCTCAGGATCCTCAGGGCCTACTTCAACAAGAGACAGCCAAAAAAACCTTCATCTGCACAGCACAGACCGACTCTAGTAACGGGGGGCACAGACGATAACAAACTCTCCCCTCAAACTGAAATACAGGAGAAGACGAAGAAGAAGAAGAAGAAGAGGAAGAATCTTTTCCCCAAACTTCTTAGCTGTATCAGACCTGGAAAACAAGAAAGAGAAGAGCCATACGATACGAGGCCTGCTAATGGCGTGGAAGTTCGTTCTTTAGATCCCCGTAAGTATGAAGCTACAGCCTCAGATAACTCCACTACATCTCCTGTATGATCAGAAGGGCTGAATCTAACAGTTGATTTTGTTTAATGATTCATTTTAACAATCTTGGCAGAAGAAAGTTCAAAAATGTCTTAAAAATAACTATGAAAGTCTAAAGCTCTGGAGGTTTCAGGGGTATACATTTAATACATAATACTTGGGATATTTAAAACGATAATACAAATAAATTGTATTTATAAGTAGCTTTCTAGAGACCCAAAGACTCTTGACAAAACCAGATAAGACAGTCCATACAAATTTAAGATGCCACTGGAAATACAATTATGAAAAAGTACAATGAAAAAACGCAAGTCAAGACGAAACTGTATTTAAAAGGAGCATGAAACTGTTCCCATCCCAATTATTCTTTGACTCTTGCCAAGTCATCTTGTTTTGTTCAATTAAAAAAAATATCAGTTTTTTCAAATGAAGTCAAGGCGTTTAAATGTCGTTGTAAACATGCAGCCACATGTTCTTCCTGATCATTCCCCCAGCAGGCTCTGAGTCAGACCTCGTGGCTTCTCCCTAAAGTAACACTTGGTCATTTTGGGGATTTCTTTTCAGGATGATTTGTTTTATTCTTTGGAAAAGCCCGTCTAAGAAACAGGCTCGGACTTGTTGCTGTCAACACGTGTGCTTATTCTCTCGTACTATTGTCTGTTTATTATTTATTTCAGCTATAGGGACAGATGAGGTTGAGAAGAACCTACTGGAAGAAGAGGAGGATGATCTTAAAGATGTAGAGGTAGCGAACAGACTGACAGACATCGCTGATGAGATCCCGTTCCTTCCTCCTGATATAGAGACAGATGCGGCAGAAGGTGAGTTTCGGATTCAGCCCTTCAGAATAAAAGTCTTTCAGAGAAATACCAGGCCTACTGCAATTTGACATTCTTCTCCAAACCTCTTATTTCCACCTGATGAATGCAGATATAAACCTACAATGGAGCGAAGATCATCACCTTAATGAAATCACTGTTTCAAACACACTTAAGAGACTGTTCACCATAACCAGCCTCCCTCATATCATCAGAAACATACTCTGACATATATGATTTGATCAATTGTTTTAATTAAATACAGGCAATTATGCTTTACATGGCCTTTTAGTGTTTACAATGTGCTTGGTTTGATCAAAGCTGAAGAAAATGTTGGTGATTGTGTAGTAATGAGGTATTTGTTATCTTCTCTTGGACGTGATTGTTAATCATGCGTCTTGTTTCCTAGATGAGAATGTGGAGAGGATAATCGGCCTGCTGCTCAGGGAGTCTGGAGACCGACTGGACGAGAGAGTAAGAAACAACTTTTACAGATATCTAAAGTTTCCTTTAACCTTTTGAATGTTCTTATAGGAAACTTCTTCACAGCAAAATGTGGAAGTCGTTCATGTTTGTAATGCGTTTTTATGTATTCATGTTGTTTCTTGAGCCAATTTGGTCAAATTTGTGTTAAAAAAAACTAATTTTTGTGACGTTAAGCCTATTTATAAAAATACATATTTCAGTGTGTTAAATGCAGATCAGTTTTTTCCTCAGTGTTCATTGAGTCCTAACCTAAATAAATGGTTTCTTGTCTCCACCAGGAGCTGAAAGGTTCTGGTATATCCCTAGAACTTTTTTCGGACTACAACTTCTTTAGGAGGCTAATGCAGACGCTTCTCATGAGGATGGGCCTCAGGAGCCCCGACCCAGACTCCCCGGGGCCAAAAGCATCTCCCAAAACTCAGATCGCTGTCACCTGTGAGGTGAGGATAACGTTAATGTTTTATCAAAAACGTTTAAAGGGATAGTTTGAATCTTTTGAAGTGGGGTTGTATGAGTTATTTAGCTTCATCAGTGTATACAGTAGATGCAGATGGAGGAATGTAACCGATGTAAAGCCACCAGACTCTTTTGAGAAAAGCAGTCATTCGACCTCTCAGAATAGGGGTTTGCTTGTCTACCCTCTCTGCTTGTCTCCGTCGTTTAGTTTTTGTTATTGTATGACTTTGGTGAATTTGAAATAACCAATTTGAAACACTAAAGTTACACAAAAACACAAACAAGGAACCAGTAGATCAACCATTTCCGTGTTCTGAGAGGTTAAATTACTGGGTTTTTTCAATGGACATTGGACACTTTGAAGGGAGCATCAATAATGACTTTAGTTTGAGGTGAAGTCGTAAAAATATTCTTAATAAAACGTAAATTATATTGATGTTTTTAGATGTCTAAAACATGATCTGATGCGTCCACAGCAGTACATTGCTTTTATTCCTGCTGGTTCTCCTGTCAGTTTCTCCAAACTGGGGACACGCTGAACTTAAATCACCTCATACAAACCTCCCTAACTATCCCTTTTTAAGTGAAAAGCTTTGCCTAACTGACCAACATGTAAATGTATTATCTTTTTAAATCTATAAACATGACATATACTGAGGGATCCTCCTCTGTTGCTCTCCCCAAGGTTTCTTCCATTTTGATTGACTAACAGTTGAAGTTGTTTGTGTTCCCCGCAGGTCACCACCCGTCTGTCAGCGCTCCACACACTGCCCACGAACCGACTGTTGGGCCACGGAGCCAGATATCTGCAGCAATATTATTCCTCCTGGGCCCAGCAGCAGGGCGGATATGTAAGCAACACACCACCTGTTGATATCATTTAAAACAATTAGTTTGACCTACAACTCTTTCAATATCTGTATTTTCCTCTCTTTCACAGGAGGAAGCCTTTCACAGTGACGATGAGGACGACATCGAGTGAACAGAACATTCTCTAAAACATGCAAAAGGACTAAAATCAGACTCAGGAAACATCTGTATTATTCTGCCACTTCAACTAACATGCAAATAAAGCCCACAGCATTAACGTATCTGCAGCTGCATGCATTAGAATAATATATAATTGTGTTATTCTGGGATTAAAAGCATACATATTTGTATTGTTCAGGTTTTTCAACGAACTTTAGCCAAACACAAAACTATTTTCCTGCCATTGATAACTACCGTTGTTTGCGATTTAAGTGTTATTTTGTAAAAAAATGTGTTATTCAGGGAGATAAAGGGTAACTAGCAATTTTAAATTAGAACTATTTATGCTGTTGTATAAAAGACAATGACATTTTGTAGCATTTGCACTTTTTTATAAAAAATGAATGAATGTTTTTAAGAGTTTCTGAGGGATGCACAATGTGGGTTATCTGTAATTGTTCCTGGTGTTGTTTTACGGCATTTCAGGTTTTAATTGTTTTACTTATGTCAAAAGGTGCCAAAGAAACTTGTGTACTGTCAGAATTACGCATGAATGCTAATGTACATGACTTAAAATAAACTGTTCATTGTAATTACATCTCAGTTTATATCAAGGTGTCCTTTCTTCCTGTTTTTTTAACTCCTTAAATTAAGTTTTTACTTTTTGTAACTATTCAACTTTTATCAATTAATAACAAACATTAAATTAAGACCATTTAATATCACAACATAGTAATATATATTTATGTCAAAACCAATTAATATGACAGATAAGTACTGCAAGGGTCAATAAACAAAATATGTTTGAGGATCTCTCATATGATTTACTGAATTGTTAGAATCATCCTCCTGTGGAGGGTACAGTACATGTAATAACTTGACGTGCTGTTACTTTATTATAATCTACACATTCCTATGCAGAGACACGCTTTTGCTAAATAAAGTGGAAATGGCGCCGCATTGTGGTCAAACTAGAAAGGGCAAATTCCACTTCCACTCCACTTTTTTAATCATTTATTTTTTGTCTTCATACTGTTCCAATACGTTGCCCAACGAGAAGTTATTTGTATTGAGTTTTGATCAATATCTAAATAAACTGTAAAGCACCTTGCTCCAATTATATCCCAACTTTAAGACGTGTACACCGTTTAAGGGAAGTTATTTTTGGCCAATGTTGCATAGAGAGCAACAGGTCACATCAAAAATAATATTTGTAAGTTAATCACATGTGGGCTTGTAATGGATCAAATGTTTGCCGAATTAGAGATAATACTCATATAAATAGAGTGAGAATTGTAATCAAGATTGCAAAGAGTACACGCCTCTTGAAAAAAATATAATCTTTAAATCAGCATTTCTTTGAACTGAGTTTGGCGTGCTGTCCTTTCTAGAACAAGCTGTTTTGACACCTCGCGCTGTGAAATGAGATCTAACCCGTTCCGCCGCTCGCGCTCACCGCCTCAACCTGCTCACCCGCAACAAGCACGAGGCCAGGAGGACACAGTCGGTGTCACCGGTGACGTCTCACCTGTCGGTCTGTCTAGCAGCTCCTCACACCTCCACCGGGCAGCAGAGCAGGAGGAGTGTGCGTGATGTTTAACGTCGTGAACCAGGTTCGGAAGTACGTCCCCACGCGCTCCTCGGTCACGGAGGACATCCCCGTGCGGACGGTGCAGGTGAACAAATCCCTCGGGACGCTGCGCGAGGCACCGGAGGCTACCTGGCCGCCCCCGGGCGCTAAAATACGGATCTCCAAGGCCAACAAGGGCGCGGCGGTGCGAGCCGTCCGGCGGCACCCCCCGTCACCCCAGCCGGCCAGCCTGGAGAGCCTGGAGGCGGCTTGGAGCGAGAGGGCGACCCCGGAGGTGAAGCCACCGGAGAGGAGCCCCGAGGTGAGGAACGGAGAGCCAGCCGGGATGGAAGGTGGAGGAGGGCCTCCCCGGGTCAAGAAGAAGGGGTTCAGACCCCCGGATGTGAGGACCATCTTCTCCCCCGGAGAGAGGGACCCCAGGGTGGAAGAGGAGTCCGGGAAGGGACACATCTTCGAGTCCGGAGGAGAGGACACCTGGTGTGATGTGTGCTGCCGCTACATCTTCCAGCAAGGGCTCACATGTGCAGGTAAGCGAGGGGGGGGGGGGGGGGGGGGGGGGGGGGGGGGGGGGGGGGGGGGGGGGGTACTGTGGACTCTTATGGTGAAGAGCCCCTTCAGAGGAAGACTCAAACTAAGTGTTTAATGAACAGACATATTGGAGGTTAAGCTTGAATGAACATGTAATATTCAGTGGCTTTTTCATGCCTCAATTCAAACCTTCTAACTTTCTTTCAAATGTGCATCTTAAGCAACAACATTTTTGCAAATTATAATCATATTTATTTTAAAGTATTTTGTTCCTCCAGCTGTATAGATTGTGTTTAACCAATACATGTCAGCTTTATAGTTCTTTTCCATTTTATATCACTGTAGAATCAAATGTACTGTCACAAAGCAGCAGAAATGGTTATTTGTCTCAACTCAAATGTATTTAAAACATATACATAAAGAACAACAAAGTAACAAAGATAGCATATCCCACATCAGGGAAACAAACTATAAATACATTACCTCCCATGAATGTAGAATACAATTAAAATAATGTTTGTCAAAAGCAATAGCATCAGATAAGTACAAGTCACAGTAAAAAATAATGGTTTTCTGGAAAATATTATACTTTTATGAAAGTATAACTGAAGTGTTTCAGGGTTTAATGATTCAGAGAGGTTCTTCGCCTTGCTACAAAGTCACATTTCCATTATCTTTCCTCCCAGACCTTTAAGGAAAGAAAAAATCATTTGAAAAAGTTATTCTCAAAATGTTTAGGTAGCAGCCTCTGTCATGTGTGATGGTGTGTGTGTGGCAGAGTGTGTGGGCAGAGTGTGTGGGCAGGGCTCAGCAGGAATGCAGTTTGTTATGCAGACCGACTGGTTTCTGATCTAAATAAAAGTGAGCCACGATGTCTCCTCAAGTCAAACCTGGACCTCCCTCTGTGTCCACTTCTGATGCAAACAATAGAAAGAGGAAACTCAGAGGAATGTGAGGCGGACATTGTGCGTCTGGGAGTGTTGAAACTAAAAGCTTAGTTTAACCTCCACTATCACTGTCGAAGACAAAGAGTTTTAATACTCTACATCAGCGGTTTTCAAAGTGTGAGGCGCGCCTCCCCTGGGGGGCGCCAGAGAGCTTCAGGGGAGGCGCAGCGTGAGAAAAAAATAAAGAGAAACAATGAAATCTAGCTCGTTAACTTCAGCTAACTTTATGCGAGCGGCAACATGGATCGATTTTTAGTGAAGTTACCTAAAGTGAGAGAGGAGACAGCGTCTGGCCACCCCAGTTGGCAGCTTTGTTTTGAAATAAAAGTTGTGGCTCATCGGACATTTATCAGAGAAAATCCCTGATGTCCGAGTGCAAGTGAATGCAGCACAAGACGCGAGCCTTGTAACCCTGGCGCGAGCGAGGAAATGTGATTGGCGGCGATTTCATTTGAACGGGCGGCAGAAAACGAGAAACATTCGGACCCAAGTACACGGAAGGAATAGGTATTTGCGGTCTACAATGACAGAGAAGAGACTGTCAAGTTTGGCTTGTGCTCAGCATTGAATCAAAACGCACTAAAGCTTTGGATGTTAATACGTTTGTGAGGCGTTTTGCTGAACAAGATGGTAATCGCCGCATTCAGCTGTAATAGGCATGCCAACTTGATGCTCTGCTCACGGATGACTCGAGCATTAAAAACTGTTAAGATGATGACCTTACGTGTGTACATATATTTTTTTCTTTGTGGGGGTCTGCCCTGAGAAAGTCAAATAAGATGGTGTGTAAAACTACACTGCCCAGACAAAAATAAGTAACCACTTTGATTTAACTAGGCCAGTAGGTAAGGGCATTCCACTGGATAATAATACCCCTGCATTATAGCAACAACAATAATAATAATAATAATAGCAATAATAATTGGGAGGGGGGGCGCGGCTGTTCTTATATTCTCTGAGGGGAGGCTCACCTTCCCACACTTTGAAAACCCCTGCTCTACATTATCAAAAGCTTTATTGTCACATGCAAAAGCTACAGCTTAAAATAGTAGTTCCTCTAAAAAAGCAACATACAGAATATTTAAGGCAGAAAAAGATATAAAATAGTGCAAGAAGAACAAAAATGTGCAAGAAATCAAAACAATTTTATAATAATGCCTGAAAAAGGACATTATAACTTTTGTTTTTGTTTTGTTAAAATCTATTTTATCACATTTTAATAATATGAATGTGTGGACAAGTAGACAAACCAACAAGTTAGCAGGTCCAAATTTCATTTAAAGACAAATATATCTTTATTTACTGTAATATTTTAGTCCTAAACACACAAAACATTCAGCAACAATGCATCAGGTCATACTGAAAATATAAAACAGTTACACAATGCTGACAGACAGAAAACAAAGTATCTTCTGACTCTGCCTTTGTCCTTTTAACCTTTTAACTCCTTGTGTTTACAGACAATAATGAGCTCTCTGTTTCCACCTGACTTTGTGTATAAAGTGTTAAGGCTCATTTAAAATGCAGGAAGCTCAGCAAAGTCCATTACTCCTCCTTTATGATACAAACCTTCCAATAAGTACAAAAGAGTGTATATTCTTCCTGAGAAAATGTGTAGAGGTGAAACATTGCTCTGCGGAGGAGAGCTGGCTCACTTATTAACTCAGAAACAGTCACTTATAAATCAGAGGAAACAGAGAGTCAGTTATTCCTTTTAAAAATTAATTGAAGCTGCAGAGAGCTTTTTGGGGGGGTTTCATAACATTGTCATACATTCAATAGCCTTAACAATTGTTTAAATACACTCACGTGAGTTTCCATGAACTTATAATGACTAATTATAAGTTTCTTTAATACTAAGCATTGCTTTTAATATAACAACACTGAATAATTGACCTATCCTCTCAATTAGTTATGATGTCAAAACATACTGTTCATTGCACATACTAGTAGGACCAGTTTACATGATACACTAAATGTCGTTTTTTCTTTTCTTAAGATATATAGTATTTCTGGCCTTTCTCAGACTTGCATTTTCATGATTTTTACTGTGGAATTCCTTAATTACAGTGACATAAAAAACTAAACGACATTTGGATATTGATTTTGAGAGTTTAAGATAATAATCTAATAACAAACTAATATTTTGGTTGATTTTTATTCTAACAATCAGAATATTAATACGGTTTATTGTAATATTTTACACTAAAAATAAATGTGCTTTAAATATTTAACTAAGTTCAAGTAGTAACATATCATCTTCTGCCGATCAAATTAGCTATTAGCATTCACATTGTTTAAGCTGTACTTGTTATTTTTATATGTTTGGGGAACAAAAATCTTCATTTGTAAAAGAAATTGTAGCTGTCATATGTAGAAATGTGAAACATGTCGTTTTACTTCAGAGTAAATGAATGCTTCCCAAAGTGGGTCAGATGAGACTCGATAAAGAAACGTCCGCTCTGTCTCTCATCAAGATGATGTAACAGAAACCTCAGAGATCTTTGTCTGACGGGTTTACTGTTGCAGTGTGTGTGTGTGTGTGTGTGTGTGTGTGTGTGTGTGTGTGTGTGTGTGTGTGTGTGTGTGTGTTGTGTGTGTGTGTGTGTGTGTGTGTGTGTGGTGTGTGTGTGTGTGTGTGTGTGTGTGTGTGTGTGTGTGTGTGTGTGTGTGTGTGTGTGTGTGTGTGTTGTATAACGTTTTTGCTGATCCTTATACTTTATTAGGATTAAAAGTGCAGGATACCTGTAACAGAGTATTTCTACACGGCAGTGTTTTTATCAAAAGCTGAATACTTAAACCGTAACAAATGCATGTGTGCTTGATCGTAATGATTAACAAACGAACAGATACAATCAGAAAGTGTTGGAAGTACTGTTAGGGTTGATATGCCATTGTACGGGGAGCTCCTTTTATTTAATGAGATGTCAAAATCTGAAAAAACAGCACTCAAAAAATCTGAATAATTACCTTATTTTTGTACTGTTGAGTTATTTACGCAACATAAAATGTAATGGTTGCTCATACTCACGTGTGAGCTTTTATCAAGGATTATTAGTTTAGTTCTAAATGTCACATGTTCATCATTTTATACAAATAATGAAATAATTGTAACGATTTTATGGTAAACTTTGAGCTTCTTGTGTCTTAAAACCATTTTTTATTTTGGTTAAATAACCCAAAAATAAAAGGAAGACTGAATATTATCTGAATTATCTCAACATAAATATTAAATAAAATTAAGAATAAAAACAAATTGATGAAGAAGATCAGATGCAATTACTGTTATTTGACAAATAATTTATCCCAAACTGGGTCCATTTTTAACACAGTTAATTTGAGTGTCTCCATATACTGTATGTAGAGAAAGAGAGTTTCACATTGTGGTTTATCAAAGGATCATTTTAAACCATTGTGCAAAAATACTGGATGGGTGTGTGTGTGTGTGTGTGTGTGTGTGTGTGTGTGTGTGTGTGTGTGTGTGTGTGTGTGTGTGTGTGTGTGTGTGTGTGTGTGTGTGTGTGTGTGTGTGTGTGTGTGTGTGTGTGTGTGTGTGTGTGTGTGTGTGTGTGTGTGTGTGTGTCATCAGCTGCCACAGATGAGTGTGTGTTGTCTTTGGAGCCAAACTGTCACAGCGACTGAGCAAACGGAGGTGGGGGGGGGCAGACAGAGGGTCAGAGTGAGACCGGAGCAGAGCCAGAGGAACATCACAGTGACAGGGAGGTGGGTTTCAGACCTGCATGGAGTCAAATCTGGATTTAAATCAGGTATTCTGATTCTGTAGGAGCAGAAAACACTTAAAAAAGTGTGTGTGTGTTTGAGCTATGGGCTTTGCTAAAAACTTTGGCAAAACTGTGAGGAGGGTGTCAGGATTTTTCTATCGGTTTCCTAAAGTGATGCGGCGCTCCGGACGTCTGGAGGTCGGTCTGCTGTGGAGGAGCTCTGGTGAGTCCTCCGTTAATCCCATCGTCCATGAGTTATTATCGATTCATCTTTATTGTTTAAGTCTAGAAATGGACAGAAAATATTGATTAGTGTTTCCCAAAAAACAGGATGACGTCCTCATATGTCCACAAATCAAATATATTACATTTACTCTAAGCTGGAATCAGAGTAATTTGACATTACAAATTCTACTCAAACTTAAATTGTTACATTTTTCAAAATCCTCAAACTTATTTAATCGTCGGCGGTTACTTTCATATTTGCCACATTGAAAATATAATCTTTGGAACACCAGTTTTAACCATATTAAAAAGGTAAAGTTGTGAAGTTTTATGATTTTTACTTTACTGTACTGTATTGGTACATGTTCATATATAAAGCCATGTTGGGTAAACTCCCATCTTATATCTGCTCTCTGATCACACAGAGAGTTGCAGGTAGCTATTGCCTGAGATCACATGATGTGGTCTTGTTACATGTGCTAAGTGCAAGGACTGACTTAGGTACGAAAGCTTTTATGTGCGCAGCTCCTCTTGCTTGGAACAGTCTTCAAAAAGAATTGAAACTGAGCAATTTGGTTCCACTGCCTGTTTTTAAAGCTCTGACAGGTGAAATGCTCTTTGATACTGTTGGTACTTGTAAATGTCGATAGGTATGTAAATGTAGCCCTGTATATATATGATGTCCTTTATTGTTTTATGTTTCATGTGTAACCTACTTGCTGCAGGTCTCCCTTAAATTAATGATCTCAATGGGACCTACCTGGTTAAATAAAGGTTTGAAATGAAATGAAAATTCTTGATCATTCTTTAAAAACTATTCAAACGTATGAAATAATTGGCGGTTATTTTAGAAGACTATTTTTATTTGTATTCATCTAGAGTAGACAAATTGCTCTTTGCAGCTTCAGTTTTTCAGTTTTTTTTCAGTTTTTTTATTTATCATCAAAAAAATACTTATTAAAGGTGTGGGGTATGTAATTTATTTCAGAAACACTTTTTGTTATATTCCATGGAATGCTCTTAACATCCCGATAGCAATGAATATCTTAAGTGCTTTGACAATAAATACATAAAAAAAAAGAAAAAAAAGAAAGAAAAGAAATGTCATCTGTGGAAGCTGTAGTACTGTAAAAAGCACGACCAATCATTTTAGCCGGCCCGGCTAAAATGACTGGATGGCCTACCTGCCTGTCAGCCTTCCATCTGTGCACAAACTTATCTCGTGCCCTCATTGGTCATGTGCGCGTTCGTGTGTGTTGGAGGAGGGGCTCTGTGAGGAAGTGGCAGATTTTTTCCGGCTGTGTATTTTCAAATTCTAGCGCACTCGAGCTGGTTTCTCCAAAATTACCTAACCCACCTTTAATTATTTAAAAACTGTGATTTAATAGTTTACCAATTTAATCTCTACATCTCTAGTCCTGAGTGTGTTCAGGAAATAATATTGGGCTAAACTTCTCACACATTGCACACATTTTGTCTGCAGCTAAGTCAAGTAAAAGTAAAGAAGTAAAAAGAAAGAACATTTTAGCATATTTGAAAGAAACAGAAAAGAACAGATGGTCGCTGTAATCAGCACACACCTGTTCTCACACACACACACACACACACACACACACACAACACACACACACACACACACGTGCACACACACACACACACACACACACACACACACACACACACACACACACACACACACACACACACGTACGTACACAAACACCCCTGTCATACAGTAGAATGTTGTTATACTTGAATTTACTCGTAATTGCAATCTGCATGGATGCTAAACACGATAATTTGTCAGCAGAGTTTTTGCTGTTAAATAACTTTTCGTGATTCCACAAAATTACATGTGATCAAAAAATTATACTCAATGCTTAAATTAATAAATGTCTCAGCATCAACCCAGTATTTACTTTCATCCGCCATGTTATCCAGAAGTTACATTTTTTCGGATTATTCCAACACCACATGAATGCAGCATCATGCCTGGTCGACTGCTCTGTAAACAGGATGCTGTAACGTGGCACCCACAGATAGAAAATAATGTGTTTTATAAGTGAGTCACTATAATAACCTATACCTAACAAACTTTCAACTCATGGATCTGTTATTTGAATTGACACTTTATAGCTGGTTATTCATATAAAACAACACATATCCCCGAAGTTGTCGTACGATTTTACATTTTAAACCTCAAAAATCCTTTGACCGAGCCTCTGAATCACACTACCTTTAGGGGTCTGGCTTTGACCTTTGACCTCAGGGCAGCGGGGTGAAGCAGTGTGTGTTTCAGCAGGTGTGTGTTAAAGTAGCTAACGGCTCATTGTGTTTCCCTCTGCACACACAGACCTGATTAGAGTTCCTGTGCCAAAAATAAAAAAGAGTTTCACACACAGGAGAAAGAAAACTGAGTCTGCCCAGTCTGTGATTCCTGACCTCTGACCTCTGAGCCTTCACAATAAGAGTGCTCTGTGTCGTGGCACAGATCAAGTCTGGTTTTCTGGCTCCTCAGGCAATTTGTAAATCCACCAGAACTTAATAGAAACCACTTTAGTTTCATACAATCGTACTCATCAAATAGCAACACATATATGTTTAACACACGATACATTCAGTTTGAAAAGCACACAAAACTAACTAGTTTTAACAAAACATTTGACTTAATTTCAAACTGATTCTCAGGATTGTATATTTTTTAGCACCTTTAGTTTTTCTGAAATTTGACATGTTATTTGTGTATTCTATTCAAACATCACTAAAATCACTCTTTACTCATTGGTATGGAAGATGTTATACAAACTGTACATGCAATCTCTACAGTAGAAGCATGAAAGGTTAAAGAGTTTGTGTCCGACTTTCCTCTGATTGAGTGGGATCGATTGTGGGAGTCTGGGAAAAGCTTTTAGCCCTGAGACAGCAGAGAGAGGGGGAGAAAGGGGGAGACAGAGAGGAAGAGAAGAGGGAAATAAAGCAACAGAAATAAAGGCAAGGAGGACGAAGAACACAAATAATTTTAAATAAGGTAGTACTGTAATCTTTCTGAGATTCCTGATGTTATGTTCAGAAAACAGGAACAATCAGCATACATTTCTGCAGGGATTAGTCAGATTCATTAACTCAAATGAAAGTAGTATGTCGACAATGTAAAAATACTCTGTTGTGAGTCAAATTACTACTGTTTTATAGAAAAATCAAGACAACACAGTACCAAAAGTAAAAGAACGTATAGTGCAGAATGGCTGCTGTCAGATTTACTTACGTGAGTTTGCATACCTTTGTTGTTACGTCGTTAAAATATTTCTCTCCAAAATAAAATATGCATGCTGGGATGGATTAATGTAGACGGATGTTGCTGTGTGGATCAAGTTCATTGTGAAGAGGATGAATGGAGTCAGGAAACTGGGGAGACACAGGGAGATAACCCACTACGTAACACAGAGAGCGAGAGAGTATAACTGAGTCAGCAGTCCCCCCCCCCTCCTGTGTGTGTGTCCATCACTGCGGCCTCCATTTGACTGTTAAATCCCCACTCAGCACAACACACACACACACACACACACACACTCTCTGAAACAGAGAGAGAAGGCTCCACGCAAATCAGCATCAGGAGTCTGATATGCAGCAGAAACGCCCGAGAGACTCTGAGGAACACTGCAGGGAGAGAGGGATTTACTCCTGAGTGTGTGTGGGGGAAGTTGTGTGTGTGTGAGCGGAGGATGTGTGTGTGAGATGAAGATGGGAGATGGGAGCGGCCATGTGCAAACTGTCGGATAAAGTGGGACAGCACGTGAAAAAGAGGTCACCAGGTAGGGAACGAGGAGAGAGTTTCATAGTGGTGTGTGTGTGTGTGTGTGTTTGTTTTTGTGTGTGTGTGTGTGTGTGTGTGTGTGTGTGTGTGTGTGTGTGTGTGTGTGTGTGTGTGTGTGTGTGTGTGTGTGTGTGTGTGTGTGTGTGTGTGTGTGCCAGTGATGGAATGTAACTACCTACATTTACTTGTTGTAAGTGTTGTAAACTTGAGGTACTATTCTCTCTTCATTTAACTTAATACTTCTTCTTCTCTTAAATTCAAAGGGACATTTTTTTTACTGACATTTAGTTATCAACCAAACTAGACAAAAGTGTATACCAGAACAACTTGGTCAACTAATCAAATAGCAGATTTTGAGAGAATTATTAAGCATTATTAAACATTTAACATGTTGCTCTTACATTTTCAATAGGGGATTTATATTGTAATTTTGTATATTTTACAGTTATGAGTACTTTTACATTAGCCATTGATCTGTGTACTCTTACAAGTGTGTTTGCAGCTCTGATATGTTTGTACTTATAACCAAATATATATGTGAAAAGCTTCTTGAAAGTAATTCTAAATACTATAGGAATTCATTAAAAAAAACGTTCACATTTTAAATCTCAGTATTTAATGTTGTGTATCACATCCTGAGAGACTTTATTTTGACCCATTTTCCTCCATAAGACAATTTGCATACTGTTGAATCTAATTTGCAAGCTTTATCTCTGACCTCCACTGACATGCTGTGGATATCAGAGGAGTATTTGAATATACGTTACACACCCCTGCCTGTGCTTCATGCTTTATTTACTTAGTGTCATTGAAACCACTTCCTGTCTTTCATGGATCACTTCCTGTCTCTGCAGGGTGTAAGTACGAGTGTCACGCTGCCTGTCGGGACCGAGTGTCACTGGACTGTCATCCTGCAGCTTCTCCCTTCAGCCAGGACCAGCTCAACAACAACAACACACTGCTACAAGTGAGGACACACTACACTGGGAGTGTTTGTGTTTGTGTGTGTGTGTGTGTGTGTGTGTGTGTGTGTGTGTGTGTGTGTGTGTGTGTGTGTGTGTGTGTGTGTGTGTGTGTGTGTGTGTGTGTGTGTGTGTGTGTGTGTGTTGTGTGTGTGTGTGTGTGTGTGTGTGTGTGTGTGTGTGTGTGTGTGTGTGTGTGTGTGTGAGAGAGAGCATCTTCCTCATTTCCTGTTTCTTTTTCCCCTATTTTTCATTTGTGAGAAAATGATCAAATGCTTGTGTCTTTATTGAACTTTGCTATCTGGTTAAACTTGGTTAAAATGTCATTCTCAACACATTAATAGTTTAAAACTCAAGAGTGCAATATTGTAATGTATTGCACCGCCACAAGAGGGCGCTGTAGTCAAACATTTTGCCTGCTGGTGAATCATTAGTTCTACTTTTTCATACAGTCTAAAATGGTTCTACCAGAATACAGGCATTGCTCATCCAGCCAAACATATTATAATAACTTTGAAGTATGTTCAGTGTCATCTTAATGAATATTGTCAAGAAGAGAAATGCTCAAAACAATATTTTAAATAGTCAACAATGTGTGGGCATTTATGTATCATATAAATATAGATTAAAAGATCAACATAACAAAATAGATATATCTATACAGTATTAAAATTGAATAAATAGGATAAAATAATAAGAGTAAATAATAATAAAAAATATATACTGTTTTATTTTATTTTTTCGAGTTAACATGTTTTCAAATTCCATTGTTCTTTACTGATACTTTGGACACCAAGTGGGGACACACACCCACAATGCATCACTCATCAAGAATGGCTAGTGTGTGTGTGTGTGTGTGTGTGTGTGTGTGTGTGTGTGTGTGTGTGTGTGTGTGTGTGTGTGTGTGTGTGTGTGTGTGTGTGTGTGTGTGTGTGTGTGTGTGTGTGTGAATATGTGTGCATGAAATTGTGAATATGTGTGTGTGAATATGTGTGTGTGAATATGTGTGTGTGTGTGTGTGTGTGTGTGTGTGTGTGAATATGTGTGTGTGTGAATGTGTGTGTGTATGTGTGTGTGTATGCGCGCTCAGGTTTCATGTGCTGTATGTCCGTGGGTGTTTTCTCTTGGCATGAGGAGCATTAGCTCAGCACATTTCATACCAGTGCTGATCCCACACACACACACAAACACGCACACACACACACACACATCACACCCACACATACACACACACGCACACACACAGATAGTGCTGAGTCGTGCTGAGTACAGTGCTGTGGGTTTTCGTGGCGGCAGTCAATTCATAAAAAGCAATTTTTTGGTGTGTGTGCAGTGGTTTAGAGTGTGTGTGGTCTCAGATCTGTATTGAACTGTACTTCCTATAGGTGGTAGAATCTGACTCTGTGTTTCCCTCAGTTGTTAGTTTTATTATGTATAGATACATGTAGGGTGGAGGTGCTAACACACACACACACACACACACACACACACACACACACACACACACACACACACACACACACACACACACACACACACACACACACACACACACCTGCTGTGTCAGTTATCATAGTGACAGGGCAGCCTGCCAAAGCATTTTCTCTCTTAGTTTGTAATACCCGTGCAGGGGACTCCTTCTGTGTGGGAAAATAGGCAATTACATATAAGTATAATATAAATACAGTTTTAGAGCCAAATCAAAAAAGATACCCCTACTTGGAAAATAAAATGGAATATAACAAGATAAAATAATAATAAAAAACAGATGTAATAATAATGATATTAACAAAAGTCTGTACTTACTGCACAAACTGTGGCAAATGTTTTAACATGGCTTGTGTGTGTGTGTGTGTGTGTGTGTGTGTGTGTGTGTGTGTGTGTGTGTGTGTGTGTGTGTGTGTGTGTGTGTGTGTGTGTGTGTGTGTGTGTGTGTGTGTGTGTGTGTGTGTGTGTGTGTGTGTGTGTGTGTGTGTGTGTGTGTGTGTGTGTGTGTGTGTGTTGGTGACCAGCAGATATAGGCCCCGGCTCCACGGGAACGCATACGGCAAAACGCATCGGAGTAACGCAAACGCAACCGCAAAAAAGCTTCCGCCCACACGCAATATACACCGGATTGTGTCAAGCTCCACGAGACGGCTCCGTTTACATCCAACCTGCTCCAAAAGCTGCAGTACATATGCCGAACCTGTACATGGCGCTGTAACTTCCTCCACAAAAAGCAGCAACTTCCTCCACAAAAGCAGCGAAGAAGAATGGTTGTCATGGCTGCACTTCTGTTTATTCTCCGCGGTGGGGGCCGAGGGAACCGCGCAGAGTTTTTCGCCGGTCAACGTGTGTTAAAGTTTAAATCTTCATGCTTCCTCATGCAGCAGCTGATCCAGTAAGTAAACCCGACAGTAAAAATAAACATATTTATAACTAGTTTAGGTAGTTTGAGAGGTAATTAAAATAGCTAAGGGTGATGATCTGACTTGAAGTGTGTGTTTTGCTCCCGCTGTGATGCAGCTGGAGCTGCGTGTCTCCGTCCTGTCAGATTAGACTTCACTCGCGTTTATGTCCATATCGAGATAAAGATAAATAATCTGAATTCAGTGTGCAGTGTACTTTTGCGGGGGTGAGCAGCAGAGGCGGGGAGAGGCGGGGCTATTGCGTCGTCATTATCAGAAACGGATGACCGTATAGGCGACCACACGGCCCCGTTGGACCCCCCAGAGCGCTCCGTTCCCAGATCTATCCACCTTTGGACTCGTTGTCGTTTGCAGGGTCTGTTTCTACGTTTCCGTTACGGCGTCGTCGAGCTTAAAGGGCTATACGCATGAGAAATATGCGGATTCAACCCGTTTTCGTTCCCGTGGAGCCTAGGCCATAGGTTAGTTGGCACCAAAAAATCTTCTCACCATCCATTAAAGTTTGACGTCAGTGTGTGATGTGAAATCTTGTCGGTGTCAGTGGAGAGACAAACCTCCAACTCTTTATCTAACTACACTGACTATGTGATCAGCAGTCAATTCAATCAGCCTGAAACACAAGAACTCCTGAACTCTGCTAATGTCGGGACAATTACTGAACAGTACATTCAATAATTGTATAGTAAAGTAGGACTGCACGATATATATTATTTTCAGTATCCAGACATCGAGAATGATCTCAAAAACATCGTGCTACAACATTGGGATATTCAATTATTGAAGATTTTTAAATGAATGAAGTTGCTTTTTTTTGGGAAACTCAAACACATCATGCTTTTACTTTTGTTCTATACAAAAAAGTATTTCCATGACTACTCTGCAATTTAAGTCTGTGTGGTATATATTTCCATCCAGCTTAATGAAAACCTTAAAGGCATTATTAGTAGGAGTTCATGTGATTGGCTGAGCTAGAGGGAGAGGCGGTGATTGATTGACGGCGAATAAACCGTGATGGGGTCGACTTCCTGTCTGCTGGGAAACACAAACACAGGAGGAGGGAGTAGGAGAGGAAACAAAGAGGAGAGAGGAGGGAGGGAGGGAGGGAGAGAGGGAGGGAGGAAAGTAAATATGGAGTCCGGTAGAAAGATGGACTCTTTAACGCCAGTGTGTCAGAACCTGATGTCAGAATAAAGACCTTGTGGGATATCAGGAAAACAACTGCTAGAGTTAGTGTACAACTCACATTTATTAAACCATAAGGAGTTTTATTTGGGGATTTTTGCATACATAAACACGGTAAGAGAAATGAAGATGGAACAATTAGAGCAAATATTCAATCAGAAAAATAAATAAATTATTAAAAGTGGAAGAGGAAGAGCCACCACGATTTAGAGGGTCAAAAATACATTGAAAAACCTTTGGCCATAAAAATTGAAATGCCTATTAGGACAATTTCACACACATGTTTAATAGGATTAGATGATACACTGATGTAGCATTTAAAGGTACAAGTATTTTGTATTTCAAGAAAAATACATCATTTTGAAACAAGCCTGAAACTCAGCAGAAGGAGAGCAAAGAGTGAAACGTTTGAATAGTTAGAAAGGTACATTTGAATAAAGGAGGAATGTTAATGTGTTTACCCTCTGAGGTTTTATGGTTGCTCATTAACAGCTATTGGTCCCATGCTGAAACCACAATTAAATACTCACAAGAAAAACCAGCAGGAAGGAAAAAAGTTGTAAAACTTTAGAAAACATATTCCAGTGTGAGAACTTTTCCCTCCTCTTTGTCCAATGTTTAATTTCCAAACTCTCCTTCCCTCTGATTTTCTTTCTTTCTCTCGTTTGTGTCATTTTCTCACGGGGGGCGTGTCTGAAACTCGACCAACAATCAATCACATGAATCTCCCGCCCCGGACACACAAGCACGCGGTTTGATTGGCTAGAGCTTGTACTGGCATATGATTTGATTGGCTGACGCTTCCGTCGAAGCTTCAAAAGTTGAACTTTTCTCAACTTTTGAAGCGAGCAACGCGAAGCGACGGAACCACAATGCAGTTCGGCAAAGCGTGACGTCACCCCATTCAAAGTGAATGGGCAGAAGCGTTGAAGCTTCCACGCACGCCGCCGTGTGGACGGGCCATTACGGTTAGACTGAGGGGTGTTTAAAAGATTTGTAAAGCTTTTTTAAATCAGATTCTGATGTTGTGTAGAATAAACTAGAATAAACTACATATTCATCCCCTTAAAAATGCAGGTGTCCATTATCTCACAGAATCTCTAAAAATAATAATTTAAGGTTTGACAAAAGTTAATTTAAGACAGTGTAGCTCCTTTTTAAATGACCCTGCATCTGACTAACCCCTGCCCCATCTCCTCACCTGTACACAAACATCACCACCATGTGCTTATCATGCCTCTCTTCCTCTTCGTGTATCTCTCTGAATCTTCCTCTTCCTCCAGTCCTCTAATCAGTCTCGTATTTAACACAAGCAACATGGAGGCTTACCTGCAGAAAAAAACTGCGGGGAGAAACATCTAACTTGTTGAGATAAAACATTTTTACATAAAGAAAAATTTCAGGTTTGCAAA